TAACTGAAATGTAAACACCTGAGATTTTTCCAGAAGCTGTGTCATTTCCATCTCAAAAAGAGGTGATTGGATTTAGAAATATGTTTTCTTCTGTGACTCATTCAAGAGAAACTGTATTTTCACAAGAGATTATTAAGTCTAGAATCTCACACCAAGAGAGTACAGTGAGCAAAACAATGTTTCTTCTTCCTGGCCCAAATAAATTTAAATTTAACAGGAAAGTAAAATTAGGATACTCATTTTGTGGCAAGATTTTAGTATTAGACATCAGCAACCCTGAGAATAACTCCATAGGAAAAGCAAATATGTAGATTTTGAATTCCACAATCTTTATTAAAAATAAAAATAAAACTTGTCTCTACCACACAAAGTGCAGAAATAGTAAATGAGATAAAATAAACAGCTTTGCTATTCAGTATAAATAAAATGAGGCAGAAGTAAATCATTTTGCTTTTGATTCATTTCAGCATTTAGAGCATGTTCTCTCTCCTTTAGAATTACACACAATAGGAGTTTTTGGATTGTCTTGCTATTTCCTTTTATTGGTAATGGGATTGTATGTGTTGATATAGGTTCCAAATCACATTTCCTCTCTGTCCCTTTTTCACAGCTAATTAAGTGGAAATTGATGTATAAATACAATTAAAAAGACTCACATTATATACTCTTAAAAAAACTCCACTATTTACTGTGAATTATAGTTTTTGTTTGCTTTTGTTTATAATTTTAAAAGCTCAACTGTTGGTGTGAATTTATTATTTTTCATTTTTTAACCTATAATTGTCCAATTCAAAATTCATGTTCTAATGTTTCACTGTGAGCCTCAGGTAGCTTTAATTTATGAAGCAAACCATCAGATAAATTCATTACATGTTTAATTTGGGGGTTAACAGACATTTTCTTAATTTTGTCATGAATTTGTTTTTCCTTGTCACTTGAAGAGAAAATAGAAAAAATAGACATTACTCATTTTTTCAGATTTTTAAAAGATATATTTTGACATAATATTTTTTTGCTTGACACCAAGTACAGATTTATTTTAAAAAATCCCCAAATCTAGGAAAAAGATGTGATACCCAAGAGAATGAGGCATAACTGGCTAAATGCTGATAAAAGTCTCTCATCTGTGGACTGAAATTAGTATCAAAAGGGAATTATGCCAACATTGTACTACTGAAACCAGCAAATTCTAAAATATCTTTTGGCAATTCAACATGATGATTTATTTATTCTTATTTATAATGTACCATCAATTAGCTTGTGAAAGATAAAATATAATTCATTTTTTTTTCAAATCAAAACTTACTGAAATTACACTTTGCAAACTGGAGGAAAAGCAGAAAGAACTTAATGATTTGCAGGAGGGCATGGGGTAATGGCACTTTTTAAATGTCTACAGATGGATTTTTTTTTTTTTTTCAGAGGGGCATTAAATACACCTGACTTCTTTAACACTTATACTATGGCATGTACTCAACAAATACAGGTTGAATGAATGGATAAATGAAGGAGAATTGGAAAGTTATTTGTCTTTTTCAAAATTTAGAATTACAAAGAGGGAGGTAAATTTCTACCATACTTATCAGAATTAGCTTTTTATTTCAGTACGTTATAGTTTTTACCACAAAATACCACTGAATTAATTTGCTCTATTTTGCATTTGATATAAACTTTTAAATCAAAGTTGTCACTTTTTGATAGATTAAACTTCAGAGGTAGTGAGATTGTGAAGGAGAAAAAGCAAGCTGCAAAGAGTTTTCAAGCTCCAACAGTTTCCTTTTCTTCACCTCCTCACAACCACATAGTATTTTTTCCCCAATATGGTATCATTTTGAATAATATTGGAGTTTCTCTTTAGGAGACACACACATAAGTGCTATTCATGAGAAAAGAGCATGGCATACCTAAAAATAAAGCTGTGCTTTGTTTTTTATAAACCTTGTTTATATTTATTTTGAATCTTAGGGAAAAGTACACTGTGGGTCTCCAGAGCTGTAAGTGGGTAAATAAAGCAAGTACTGTAATTTTTCAAAGCATTGCTGACTGCCAAGAATCTGATATTATCATTCCAGCTTACAGCAACTCATTTAAGAGTATTAATATCCTGTTATTTGCAAAGGAATTCACAAGGAAACCTAAAACAATTGGAAAAGACAATGGAAAAATATTGTATAGACTTTTAGATGAATCAATGATGATTATACAGACTTTTAGATGAAAAATAATGAATTAGATTGCTGATGAACTGAAGCTAAATAAAAATGCAGATGAGGTAGTCAGGTTTCCATTTCCTTGTTCTGTTTTATGTTTTGTGACCACAAAGTTATTTTCCTCTGAAGATTTTTTTTCATTGGATTACTTGTTTGGTATAACTGATACCAAGAACCATAGAAGCTGAAAATGGGGTGACAGCCTGGCCTTGCTTACCGATATTGTATTTTAGTAAGAGATGATTTCTATGGGCCTCTGTGTTGCTCACCTCTAGGAAGCATCATTGGATGGACTACTCTGTGACTGCTGCCCCCTGGGGTTGTGCAGTGGTGCTGAGCACAGGTACAATCTGTGCTGACTTTGGCTTCAGGAATATTTTCCATGGATGGTTGTAGTAGGAAAAACATTTTCTGATCTTCATGGCATTGATGTTTTTTTAACATTCACCACAGCCTACAAACAATGTCAGCCCACCTAATTTTAAATATTTTTTTTGCAGAACTTGAACCAGAAATAAAAGTAGAAACTTGATAGGATAGATACCATCCTGTGCAACAAATTTAAAATCTGAAAGCACAGAGGTTTTTTAAATGGTAGCAGAAAATTGGCTGTTCAAGAAGATGGTAGCGTGTTGAGCTGGAATCTAATTTCTTTACACAATTAGGATTCTTCTTGGAATTCTCAGCTCTTCTCAGTTAAGTGGAGATTCAGTATGGAGACTATTTCTTTTGAACTTTCAAAGCACTTTTTTCCAACTCCCAATACAGACAAATTTGCATAAGATGGGTAGTAGACAAGCCCTCAGGTTTAGTGCCTTATATTTTAAGCCAATTAAAGTGAAAATGCATGTACATTCACAATGGAGTGAGGCGTCATTGTCATTTTTAAACATGAAAAGCCTGATGCTCAGAAAGGGAAGGTGCTTAAAAGAATTTGCCAGCTGATTAAGAATATTAAAAATGGAAAACAAAGATATGTTAATAGAGCAAATAATGTTTTTTTAATCACTAAAAATTGCTACTGGGAAACAAGATAATTTATCTTTTTCTAATTTTATCTTTATTTTGTTCCAATTTTGTCTTTGAAATTTGAGTCTTCCTCAAGTTTTACTTCTATAATTTTCCCTCTCCGTGTCCATTCTGAAATCTGAATTCTTACCAATGATGTGAGTCTGTAGAGTGTAGGATTATAATTAAGTACACTGGCACTGTGAATTGTGTGGGTTGGTTGATAATGGGAGATTCTGTGCATGGGTGACTCCCTCTCTCACAACCAGGGTTCCTTGGACAAACCACTTGACTTGAGTTTGTACTGATTTGCACATTTGAGAAATGAAGATAATCATATTTGCTTCGTGTGGTTCTTATGAGCATTAAGATAGGAAATGTCTCTAAAGTGCATCTAAACACTCATAAGCAGTGGCAGTATTTATTGTGTACCACATGTTGTAGCATTTTGATTTTTTGTTACAATGGTTCATGTTAATTACTCTCTAAGGCATGATATATAATCATTCATAAAACATATGCTAGAATCTTTTCCACACTTGAGTTTTATATATCAGGTTTTTGTTTTGTCTGGTTGGTGTTTGGATATACGTTTCCCAAGGTCACGACCTATATCATTTTTGCTATTGTTTTTAGTAGACTTTATTTTTTAGAAGAGTTTTAGGTTCGCAGCCAAACTGAGTGGGGGTAGAGTTCCCATGTACCCCTGCCTCTACCCATGAACAGAATCTCCCATTATCAACATCCCCTACTAGAATGGGATATTTGTTATTACTTATAAACCTTTATTGACAAAGTCCATAGTTTACAATAGGGTTCCCTCCTGCGGTTGTACATTCTATGGGTTTTGACAAGTTTCTGACATATGTCTACCATTCAGCTATCATACAGAGTAGTGTCACCACCCTAAAATTCTTCTGCACTCTATCCTTCTCTCCTTCCCCTCCAGTGCCTGCAAACCACTGGTCATTTTATTATCTCCATAGTTTTGCCTTTTCCAGAATGCCATACCATCAAAATGATGCAGTACATAGCTTTTCCAGTCTGGCTTCTTTCACTTCTTAATACACATATACACTTCCTCCATGCTTTGTGATGGCTTGATAGTCCATTTGTTGTTAGTGTTGCGAAATACCCCGTGTGCAGGGAGACTACAGATTATTTACCTAATCCAGCTGCTGAAAGACACCTTGACTGCTTCCAAGTTATAGCAATTAAGGATAAGGATGCTATGAACATATATATGAAGGCTTTTTGTAGACATATATATGTATTTTATTTACTAGAGTCTCTCATACAAAGGTAAGGATTTTTAACACTTAGCATTCCACATCTTAGGTCCAAAAGAACTTAGACATAATGTATTAGATACAAGGAAACTGAGGACCAAGCGACCTAGTATTGACTGTTTACACAGTCCATTGTACCTCCTACTGGGAGGATTCTTTTCTCCTACTGGGAAATTCTCACCTAAATATAATGAAGAAAATCTATTAGAATGACATTTTGAAAATATTACCAAAGGTTTGACATGGTGAGCATAAGGACTGAGAATTATTGCACCAAGTGATATAATCAATTTTAAAAATTTAATAATAATAAATAAAAGCTGTAGCCATGATATTTTTCTCATTGTTTTATAACTGCTCGTTATAATTTTATTATGACTTTTTTCCTATAAACTAGGCATTGTGCATTTTCAGTTATGTTTACATAGTTGGATTTTTAAATTTTTTCCAGTGGCTGATGCCCTCTTTGAACTGAGTCTTGTGGTTTTCACAGGTTGTGGTGGAGAGCTGTCCGGGGACACGGGTTCCTTCAGTAGCCCTGGGTACCCTAACAGGTACCCTGCCAACAAGGAGTGTATCTGGTACATTCACACAGCCGCTGGGAGTAGCATTCAGCTCACCATCCACGACTTTGATGTGGAGTATCATGCAACCTGCAACTTTGACACCCTGGAGGTAGGAATTCAGATTGTTTTTTAGCACATTACAGGATTTGGGGTAGAACCAGAAATCTGCAAAAATCCCCAAATTCCTTCCAGTGGCCAACAGTGTTCTCTTCCTGGATGTTGGGGGGCAGGTAATGTGACCGGGAGGTGGTGCCAAGGAAGCAGATGAGTGGGACTGAGGAGGGTGAGCCAAGGAAGGGAGCTGCTGTTGTTGGCAACGTGGGCTTAATCCTGCTATGACCTTCTGGGGTCCCATGAGGTCTGTTCCTCAGAATCACCCTTCTCAGGACACAGGCTGAGGCATTGGTCCCCTCGCTCCCATTTGTCCTAATGGAAGGAGGCACTTAGGATTGTCAGCACCACATACTTCCAGTCTGAGAAAGCTCCCTTAGGAAGGCAGTGGGCGGCAGAGTGTAGAGAAGAGGTGAGTGCTTGGTGGGTGGAGGGGAGCAGGACAGTGAGCCGAGGAAGTGCCCGCCACTGCTCCAACCCTGCTACCAGCACTGTATTTCAGATAATGAAGATGGCCTGTAAGGATCAGTTATAACCAGCTCTCCACTGCAGGAATCTCATCATCAGATAATGTCCAAGTAGACAGGAAACTCCTGTCACCTCAACCAGAGGGGCTGCATCACGACAAGGTTCTGTATCTGGTAGAGCTCAAAACCCCATGGAGGCTGAGTGTCTGTTTGCTTTGTTTCTCTGCTGTACCCCGGGGCCGTAGAGTACTTGGCAAACAGTGAACACTTGATGCCTATTTATGGGGTAAATGAAAATCTCCAAGCTTCTGACTGTCATGCAGTGATAATGTACATTTATTGTGATTGCAAAGGGAATCCAACTTCCATTTTCCCACTTGAATGTTAACTCTCCTGGGAGGTTAAGAGGGGAATTCTGTCCCCCTTTTCCTGCTGTCAAAACAGAGGGTCAAAAAGGTTGATGGATTTTTCCACAACCTTAACGACAACAAGTGGAAGAGTTAAGAACTGAACCAACCTATCCACCACTGCACAATCCACATCAGCCAGTGTCAAAAGACAGAGGTGGGCAGTGCACAAGATACTGAAATGAGTGCATGCTTATAGGACTTCACGGGAAACTTTAACGCTTAAAAACCTTAATTACAGACTGAGTTCTCTCCTTGAAAAGACTCGGGGTTCTCAAATCATGCCTTCCCTGGATGGGCGCAGAATCAGCAGGAATGGCACTTAGCAGCTCAAGTCTGTGCAAAGGAGGCTGATACTGCAGAAAGTGACAGAACAAGGGGGTCCTTGGGCTCAGCCCAGACCCTCGTCTTTATGTAAGTCCTGTTGCCCAGTCACGACTCTTTCTCAGAAGAGGTCCGGGTTGTTCGGCGGAGAGAGCAAGGTGGCTCCCCAAATTTATGAGATTCAGCGCTCAGAGTATGAAGTAGGAATAAGGCTCCCATGTGGAAGGTTGAGATGCTCCCTCCTGCTGACAAGAATCCTCAGTCACAGGAACCCCCTTAACTGATACAAAGCGCTGGCAGCAGGGCTTTCCGTAGTAGTATGAAATGTTACTTACCCTTCATTTTCATATTCCAAAGCCCTGTGATTGCTGCCCACTTGGCAGAATGTAAATGGGTTCATTGTGCTTTGGTTTTGTCACACCCAGTATGTGAGAAGGCAAAGGGCAGGCCTGATCCCTGCAAGTAGCCTCGGGGGACAGAGGGACAAACAAGGCCCCTGGGCAGCAGTGTTCAAGCAAGATCCCCACAGAAAACTGGAAGAAGAGGCTGCAGTTTGCTGGGGGCTTATTTTTATCAGGACAAGGTGGTTTCACGTGTTCCATCAAACCAGGGTTTAAGGGTATACTTTGAGACCCTTAAATATTTGGGAAAATTTTTTTAAGACTAAAGTGAGTAACTCCCTGACTTGCTCTCCTAAACCTTGTTTGACATCTCTGCAGATGCTCAAGAAAGTGTTGTCATCAAGCTGGGTTAATTTCTGGGAAAAAAAAAAATGAATTTTTTCAATCCCTCACCACATGGATGCTGATGACATGTTAGCAACAGGTTTCACGATATTTCACCCCTGGCTTGTGTGTGGCATGAAAACATCACTGGCCTTCTCCACCCATCTGTCCTCCCTCACATCCTGCTCTCTTGTTCTGAGCATAGCCCAGCGGGTCTTGCTGTCACCAGGTATGGGCTTACCTGGGTTTCCCCTGATTTAACCAAGAGCCAATGGATTTTTCTCTCAAAAACCAGTGTCCAAAGAGCGGCCAGTTGCGTTAAGCAGCAGCCCTTTGGTTACTCATAACCCTGGAATGCTGACTTGATTGTAACAATAAATGGAGCTAACAGAGCAGAAAGAAATGTTCAAAACAGATTAAAACCGTAGGCTTTGAAATGCTCTCTATCCTGAGCATTGGCTAAAAACACATGTTTTAATCTCTGATCATCAGGCCAATTCTTTTCCCCACAACATTGAGTCACACGCAGCAATCCAGCGGACCACACCCTGACATTCTTTCCATCCTTTTCCTCTTTTGAAGAGTCATGTGCTAACCATTGGTTTTGTTTGTGAAAGCGAAAAGTACCGTTCTTTTTTGATTAGAGAAACACTGGCCAATTCCACTTCAGTCTCTGAGAAAGGAACCTAAAGGGGTACAGAGCAGAAAAGGAAAGCTACCCCTCAGTGCAAAGAGAACCCAGACAATCGCTGGTTTTTCCTCCACTGTCTTTGTAAGCCTGACCCAGTAATAGGGGAAGCATAGAACATCAAAGCGGCAGTGCTTACCCTTCTGGAGGCTTCTAGGCCCAGCCCACTCATTCCTGTTATGTTTGTGATCTCAAGGGGACCCTGAGCAGGGAAAGCAGAATATTTTGCTGACGTGCAAGTTTTCTTTGTTAGAACTAAACCCTTACATTCAGTGTGCTGTCCAAATATGTGCTGCTTGTGGGGCCAGCAACGGGGAGCTCAGGCTGTGGGTTTCAGGCTCCGAGCTCTGCGCCCGGGTCAGGGAGCAGGGGACTCCCAAGGATGCTAAACCAGCTCAGAGTGGTTTCTGCCATTTGCCTGTGTGTACGTGTAAAGGGCCACACGGGCCTCTTCCTCCAGTCCCCCCTCCGATGGGACTGAGGCGGGTGGGCAAACAGCGCTCCTCCTGAGGAAAACCAGCGGCGAGCAGCCTGCTCGCTTCATTCCTCTGCAATTACAGCCCTTGTGCTCGGCCCTCCTGGAACAGCGGCCTCATTCATTTTGGCCTTTCCCGCATGGCTGGGGGGGAATTAATCAGACAAAGAAATCATTATGGATTCAAATCACACGCTCCTCACCCAAAGTAGGCTGCCTGTTCTCTCCCTCCCTGGAGAACACTCGAGTGGTGCCCTGGGGTGGGCGGGGGCATGGGCCTGAGGGTGGGGAGAAACTCAGGGTGGAGAGCCACGCAGATGCAGGGCGCAGAGGGGTGGGGAGGGCGTGGGGCCACGCTTTTCCATTTCTAGCCTGAGTCTAGAGTTAAATGGATGTTCTCGTGAGGGAGAGGGAAGGGCCCAGATATTGGTATGCCGGAAAACTGTCAGCAAAAAATTGGTCATTCTTCTACACATTCAAGTTTGGCAAGATTGAAAGTAGGGGCTCTCATCTTTGTGTGATTCTTGTCTTCTTCATCTGCATCCCCCAGCCCCCCATACACTGGTTATCCAAGGGGCCCTTGAGAAGCCTGTGTGAGAGGCAGTCTGGTCCCCCCCTCCCCTCCCCTCCACTTACTGGGTGGGGCTACACCTCCTGCAAGACACTGGACAAGCAGCCCAGAGGACACGTGTGGGGAGAGATGTGTCACTGGGGTATCGGGTCCAGCGAGACAATAGTTGCAAATTGGAGGAGCCAAGGAGGTCTGAGGACAAGGGAGAATGATGTAGTGGGGGCAGAGACCTGGAGATTGCTGAGCAGAAAGTGACTACTCTCCATCTTGCTCCTGGGAGTGCCCAGGCTCTGGGAGGAAATACAGAGAGGTATCCTCCCTCCTGAGGATACCACAGAACACGCTGATAGAGGTTACATTTTCAGAATCTCTCTGAAGGAGCAAAGTATCATATTAAATCCTAATCTGAAGTATTCAGATCGCAAATGGAAAATCCTAAAAATGTAGCAGGGTGATCAATAGTCTTCAGTGAACAAACAAAATGACTTTGTGCTCAGACTATTCCCCTGTGCCCAGAAGAATTAGCAAATCAGACGTGATGCTGGACTATCTTCAGTGCCTCTGCCAAAGAAAGCAGGAAATCCTATGCAGACTGGAAAAAAGGAAGAGGCGTGATAAGAAGGTTCTGGGGTTATCTCCTCAGTTCAGCTCTACAGTTCTGTCTGATGGAACAAGCCAGCATTTTGTGGATGGTTGAACTTGGGTATTCCAAGGGCAGGGGGAATGTCTTTGAAAATCTGATTCAGGTTTATAGCTCCTGCCCACCCAGGGTGGCTGATATTTCAGTCTCTACTAATAATATAGAATCCAAAGGCTAGTGATTATAATTGCTTACATATCTTTCTCAAGTTCTTTCTTCACCATCCCATCGTAGATCTATGGAGGTCCTGATTTCCACTCACCCAGGATAGCCCAGCTGTGTGTGCAAAGATCTTCTGAGAATCCCATGCAGGTCTCCAGCACTGGAAATGAGCTGGCCATCCGATTTAAGACTGACGGGTCCATAAATGGGAGAGGCTTCAATGTCTCATGGAGAGCAGTCCCTGGAGGTGGGTGAACCAAGGAGGTATCACTAAATTCTTTAGTTGAAACTTTATTTAATTTTATGACATATTTAGAGAGTCCATGAAGGCTACATCCTCTATTACTACTCTGTGACTTCCCTAATAGGGAGCATTGCTTTGAAATGCACACTTCCCTAAAACTCACGATGGAGTTTAACTTCCAAAGAGTCACCTCGTATGTGAAAACCAGCCAATGCAAGTATGCACATCCATGGTAAAAGGATGTTGCCCCTGCAGAAGCAGGATGGTTGGTTAGACTCACTTGATCCCCGTGGGATTTCTGCTTGTTCACCAGCCACAATTTGGGCATTAGTAAAGTGGTAAATTACTTTATGCCATGTGTATGGATGCTTGTTAAATACCCAAACTATAAATGTAAAATTTGCCAATTCCTAGGAATTATTACCTTTTGTTATATAGTGACTTTCTGCCCATGATCTTAGGCTGTCTAAATAAATTACTTATTGCAGATTTTTAAAGGTAAAGTATTAATGCACAACTCTGAGCAGATGTTAATCAATACAACTACTAATTAAATCAGTGTTTACTGAACACTTGCTCTGTGTCAGGCACTTTTCTAACTATTCTACAAAGACTGTCTTGTTTAATCTTCACAACCACCACTGAAGAAAGTTCATTTCTTATCCTCATCTTACTAATGAAGAAATTGAAGCTTAGAGAAGTTAGTGGCCTGTCCAAAATCACAGAGCTAAAAAATGTAAAAGCAGAGATATGACTCCAGGCTGCCTTGTGGTCCCACTTCTGCAGGTCAGAGGTAATACAATAGGTTTATCTGGTCTTTCCTAAAGTTAATGATTCATGACTTTAATAAAAATTATATTTATAGTGTTTACCCCAAAATGATTCTCAATTATCAGAAAATAACACTTAATTTTCCCTTTCTAGTTTATATTGTCATAAATCTGAGAAATGGTGGGTCACAGAGTTAGACATTGATAGGTAATTGATTACATCATAGGAATTAAAAAATTTAATGGCTGTGCAAAGTTCAGAATATCAAATTTTTAGAAGTAGATGTTAAATTATTTGTAAAATTGTATACTACTGGTATACAGTTATATATATATACATATATATACACACACTATACACAATATATATATACTATACAATATATATATACTATATATATATACACACTATATATATATACATACAATATATATTATTGTATGCAATACAATACAATGCAATATATATACAATACTATATATATATATATATACAATGCTGCAGCAGTTTCAAATACCCTAAGTTCAAATCTGAAGAAGAGGAGAAGGAACAGTGATAGTTGTTTCCATTTTGTAGTTTTTTTTTCAATCAAGCAAGCAAAATATATATATATATATAATGTGTATATATATATACACTATACTGCATTACCTGGTAGCTCAGATGGTAAAGAATCTGCTTGTAATGCAGGAGACCTGCTTCAATCTCTGGGTCAGGGAGATCCCCTGAGAAGGGAATGGCTACCCACTCTAGTGTTCTTGTCTGGAGAATTCCATGGACTGAGGAGCCTAGAGGGCTACAGTCCATGGGGTCACAAAGAGTCGTATATGACTGAATGACTAACACTCATACTTCACATTACTGAATTATCAAAATTCTTAGAACCAGATGTGTTATTCTTAAAGTATGTTATACTTTTAGAGAACAATGGAGAGGCATTTCATGGCTTTGTGAAGATTTGATTTTATTTGCATTATTTTTCAATATTTTGAAAATAGTGTGTGGCATCAGTATTTAAAGTATTTGAAGTCTTAGACATCCTTCTTTGTTTTGTTGGAATGCATAAATTAATGGTGAGTATTTAGCTCTTGAGACAAAGACTACATTAAAATGCTGGTCAAGCAAAGTGGCGTGTTCTCTGCTCCCAGATAATGGTGTAAAGTTTTGTGCATCAGAGATTCCTCTTACTATTGTACTGGGTCTTTCATCCACAGGTTGTGGTGGCATTTTTCAGGCTCCCAGTGGAGAAATTCATTCTCCAAATTACCCCAGTCCTTATAGGAGCAACACTGACTGTACTTGGGTCATTCAAGTGGAAAAACATCACCGTGTTCTCTTGAACTTCACTGACTTTGACCTTGAACCTCAGGACTCTTGTATTTTGGTAAGTGACACAAATCTCAAGCATTGTCTCTGGTCAAACCTGTGTCAAAACATTGCCATGTCAAAACAGAGCATGTTTAGTGGATGTGTTGGCTATGGATGTTTTCAATGTCAAATCACAGGAAACTCAACTATTAGCAACTTAAAATACAAGCACATTTATTTCTTACCTACACACAAACCAGGAGGTTTGTTTAACAACCCAGTCTCAGCTCTACCATTCTTAGTGAATTGGCTTTTCATTTTGTGTTTGTTACTTCTTGGTCCAAAAGTGGCTGCAGCAGTTCCAAATACCCTGAGTTCAAATCTGAAGAAGAAGAGAAGGAATAGTGTTAGTTGTTTCCCTCTTGTATTTTTTCCTTTCAATCAATCAAGCAAAATTTTTACAGAAGCCCCCTTACAGATAATAGGCCAGAATTGGCTGCAAGAAAGATTAGGAAAGTGTAGTGGATTATGATAGTGAATTTATCAGAGCCACTTTCAGTCAATTATTATTAACTCTCTGAGGGTTCTCCCAAGGTGTCACTTTTCTTGAGATCAGAATATCTTGATCTGCTGCTTGAACAGATCAGTTCAGGAACAGACTAGATGGTGAGATAGAGTAGAGGAGAAGAGCTATGGCTGTTAGTTGGTTCAAAAACTTTCCATCACTGTCAACAACTTTAATACATTTTCACCTGAAACTAATGCCTAATGTGAGAGTGAATTAGGTTGTATTTTGAAGCTTTTTTTTTTTTTTTTTACAAAAGATTTTCCATCTTTTATTTGTATTTAGAGAAATCTCTTTCAAATATAAACCAGATCCTCTTGGCTAATGGAGCTTTCTGTTTTAGTTTCCTGTCAGTTTCTTATACAAATTGCAACTTGCTAGCTTTCAAATTTAACTCAGGAAAATTCAAAAGTTGTTTCATAACTTTCAGAGTAGTCCAGTCTAATGGAATGGTTTCGAGAATTATTTTACAAGATTAAATCATTAATCTACTTAAAAGTTCAGTTGATTTATGGCTGTGTATTAACCTTTTAATATGAATCTTCAGACTCTAAATTGGCAAAGCTTTATAGGAACTTAAGGTGTAGGGCATCCACTTTCCATAATGGTAACTCTCCTGACAAGACAATTTTAAAAATTTGAATGATGTTTTACAGCGTTTTCCTAATGCAACAAGGAATTCACAAGGTAGTGTGAAGTTTCTGAGTTAGTATCTGATAGAGATATGAGCCTGGTATTTGAGACTGCTTTTTGCCTGTGGGCATTTGCTGGTCTAGAAGGAGTTAGCAGCATTTCTGAGAACTTTTAAGGTGAAAGGGGAACAAAGCTTGTGTCTAGGATCTGAATGGGGTAGGAGTACTGATAAAACATCCTGAATCGTAGGTAGAATGGAAGTAAAACAGCCTTCACAAAGACCACATCCCAGCTTCCAGTCACCTGAGTGGCCCCCAAATCTGAAGTCATAGAACGAGAGCAGCCTTGCCTCACTAATGCACCCAGGCCTTGGACATCTGACCAAAGGAATTTAAACTCTTCTTCAAAGGGAGATAAAAATCATTCCAGACCTCATCTCTACCAATAATCTTCATATGCAACAGCAAGCAGATTATCAAAGATATTCATATACATGAGGGATGATGGACCATAGTGAGATACAACATGAATAACAGACAATGGAAATAAACACACTGACATGCCAGGTGCTAAAATTATCAGGCACACAGCTTACTAAACAACTATGGTTACTAAGATTATGGAGATAAAAGTCAAAACTTCTGACAAAGACTGCAAATCATAAAAAGTAACATTGCAAATTGAAAAATACTGAAAATTTAAAAAGTGGATAAATGCAAAACCTGAAATTAAGATCTCAGTGGAAGGATTTTGGTTTTTTTTTTTTGTTTATGTTAGACAAATTAGAGATGAAGAGAGAAAAGTGATATCAGAAGAATCTATCCAGAAAAAAATATATATATAAGCAAAAGGATGAAAAATACAGAACAGAGGTTAAGATATATATCGGATACATATGAAATATATAACATACATTTACATACATTTATAAATAGAGTAGTAGCAATATTTGAAGAACTAATGACTAAGGCTTTTCTAAAACTAATGAAAGACATCAGTTTGTAAAACCAAGAACCCTAAGGAACCCAAACAGCCAAGCAAGATAAATAGAAAGACATACTTATCTAAAAAAACTTTAAGATTTTAATCTAAAAGATCAAGAAAAAAAAGTTACAATCAGCCAGGGGAATTGGTGAGTAGGGGAACAAAGTATCTTTTCAGAAGTGGCAGACTGAATGCTGACTTTTCAGCAGAGATGATTGAAAGGGAAAAAGAGATGGTATCTTAAATTTGAAGCAATAAGATAACTACCAATCAGGAACTCTTTACTGTCTTAAAATAACCATTAAATATGAAGGTGAAACAATGCATTGAAACAGTAGAGGTGCATTCGTGAGAAGTTTGAATGGACCAGAGACATCTTGTCTACCTTAACAGTTGTGCCTCTGGTGGGTATTTCTCCATCACTTTCTCCCTCCTGCAGTCTATATGGTTCTAGGTGCAGCTTCTTCTCTCTGGTAAAGTCCATAATGCATAGAATTCAATAAGCAAGTGTATGTAAACAAAACAAAGCCTAGGTCAAAGGCACACCCAGCACAGCGGCACCGTTTCCCCTCCCATGGCCGTGAGTAGGATTTTCCGCCTATTTATTACATAATATACAGATACACAGACTGGGTTTTCTAGTAACTGTGGCTGTATCGCAGTGCGCAGCTGGGCTTGACTTCATAAACTGTAGTGAGAGGAAACAGAAATGAGGAAGTAAAACATCAAATATGATCTGGTCTTTACGCCTGAAGATAAGAAAATAAATCCTCGTACTGGTGCTGGGAGGAGTCCAGTCTGGCAGATATGCTAAAATACAAAATGTAATAGTCCACACAGGTTGTCAGGATCAGGGCATTCTGTGTGAAGTAGTTGGGGGTTTCCCAGCCAGTAGGGGGATGGAGTATCAGAAGCAGATGCTGATAAGCCCTTGAGCCATATTTGGATGTAAAAAGTGAACTGCACCGGCAGTGTGGGACACTGTAGCGCCGTGGTTAAGAACCCAGCTCTGCAGTGGGGTGGCCCTGGTGCTGAGCCTGGATTTTGCCACTTCTAGCTGTGACATCCGGGAGAAAGCTAGTCTTTCAGTTTCAATTTCCTTAACTCTACCATGGGGGCAATAGGAGTAACTGTGTCAGATTCGTCGTTGGGATATTTAAGATCATATAGGTCATCTGCTTGTCCCACAGCAAGCCCTCCCTCCAGGGCTTCCCTGGCGCTCACTGGTGAAGAATCCACCTGCCAGTGCAGGAGACATGGGTGTGATCCTGGGTTGAGATCTCACGTACCGCAGAGCAGCTAAGCCTGTGCACAACAACTATTGAGCCTGTGTCCTAGAGCCCAGGAGCTGGCACTAACACAGAAGTGGATGGAATCCTATAGAGGAGTATTTTGTAAAGAGAAAGGGATCAAGTAAACCCTTGGCCCTAGACCACCATTTAGGAGGAAGATGGGTTTCCCTGTGGCTCAGAGGTAAGAACCTGCCTGTAATGCAGGAGACACAGGAGACATGAGTTTGATCCCTGGGTTGAGATGATCCCCTGGAGAAGGAAATAGCAACCCACTCCAATATTCTTGCCTGGAAAATTCATGAACAGAGGAGCCTGGAGGGCTGCAGTCCATAGTGTCACAAAAGTGTCAGACGTGACTTAGCTACTAAATGACAACAGGGGAAACAAGACAAGGATACTGAGTTACCCAAGAAGCTGGGAGGAGAAGCAAAAGAGAGGGGCAGCTTAGGAACCAAAAGTGAAGTCAGTCTTTAAGAGTGGGCGGGCAAAGGGACCGAGTCCAGCAGAGGTCAGCCAGCACGAGGCTGAGAGGAAGCCCCTGGATTCGGTCCTTGGTGACCTCGTAAGGAGCAGGACTGGTGTAGGTGGTGTTGGAAAACGCCAGATCACAGTGGGTTTAAAGAGACAGGAGCTTCTTAGCCTTTTTCCAGAACTGCGAACATGAATGGTAGAGAAGGATAAAGGGTAGTACCCTATGGGAGGCAGGATCCATGGCAAGTTGTTATTATTATTTTTAGTTGTGAAGGAGCTTAAGCGTTCCTGGACTGCAGGGTGCTGGTCACAAAAGAGCAGCTGAGTATAAGAGGTAAATAGAGGATTTGATGAAGTCAGTTACCAGGGCAGAGACCTTAGGAAGGACCTGATTGGTTCTGTAAATTTCACATTTTCAGAATGAGAAATTTGAACCCATGGCCAACTGTAAGATTTCTTTTCAGATTGGCAAATTTGTTTATATTTAAAATTGCATGAATCATATACAAGCTAAGTCATTTTTGTTTATACAATTTGTAATTCACTTCTACAAAAAGAGGGCTTCCCTTGTGGCTCATATGGTAAAGAATCTGCCTTCAATGCAAGAGACTGGGGTTCGATCGCTGGGTTGGGAAGACCCTCTGGAGAAGAGGATGGCAACGCACCCCAGTATTCTTGCCTGGAAAAATCCAAGGACAGAGGAGCCTGGCTGGCTAGTTCATGGGGTCACAAAGAGTTGGACACAACTGAGTGAGTAACACTTTACAAAAAGATAAAGAAATGTGAAAAAGGACTATTCAGATAAGTTGGGGTAGAGTTCTGCTGGGTAGGGTTGTCAAGTGGACCCAATTATGGGAGTAAGAGGTTTGGAACCAGGCAGGCAATGTACTGGAAAGGCTGGAAGCTTGGCTTCAAGTATGACTGAGCTGTCCAGGGGTTCATGAAGGCAGGCATTGAGGCACCAGCCATCGCTCTTTATAGCTAGATGGACACTGGATGTGAAATGTCCCTAAAAGTCCAGTATCTTACATAATATCTCTGTAGTCTAAGTTCATACAAAGCTAGTCATTCATTGTGAATATGTCAAGTTAATTTCTTGGTTCTGCTACTTAGAGTCATTAGCAGAGAGAA